CGTATACCGTTCACACATGAGACAGATGGCAGTCGCATTTAAATGACAGTGTGAACAACAGCGCAAAAAAATCGATCTGAGCATTACGACCTGCAGTGTGAACGTAGTCTTAGTCTCGCCCATGGAAAAGCAATGAGAAACTGTGAGGAATGAAGAAACATGTTTTAACTGATGTGAGATGTCCTTTCCTCGACCCTTGATGCGAAGCGTCCAATCACAAACTGATTTCCAGTTAAAGGGGCGTGTCAGTCTGTAACATTTCTGTGAAGGACTGACTCGTGTATCAGAATCAGCTTTATTGGCCAGGTGTGTTGGACACACCAGGAATTTGACTCTGGTACATCGGCTCTCAATGTGCATGTACATATCCCCATGCAGGGGGCAAGTAGACAGTAAACCAGCATAAGGCTGTGTAAGATGACAAAAATAAGCAGTATTAACAAGCAACAAACAATGCAAACAATGCAAAATAAGCAGTATAGGTGCCTTACATTGACACAACAGCACTCAGCATGATGAGGGCTCTTTGACTGTGAAAGGAGGTTGTTGAACTTTGTTTTTGGTTGATTCACAAAGACTCGGGACACAAGAGTTTCCTAGTTCAGGCCATTTACTTAACAAGCTTGGGTGAACAGTACACATACTCCACCATTATATAGTACAGCCTTCCCAGTGCATCAGATGGATCTGTCCTCCATACATGGTGTTGAGAGAAATTCCTGGCATCTGCCTTCTAGTTCTGGCCTGTTCTACACTCACCGGCCACAACTGTTGGCATGGGCTAGAAGTTAGGATTTTCACAAGTTCTCAGTTTACAGTGGATATAAAAAGTCTACACACCCCCGTTAAAATGCCACGTTTCTGTGATGTAAAAAAACGAGACCACCTTTAATGTGACCTATAACTTGTACAACTCAATTGAAAACAAACTGAAATCTTTTTTTCAGTGGGAAGTAAAAATAAAAAACTAAAATAATGTGGTTGCATTAGTGTGCACACCCTCTTACTGTGGGGCTGTGACTGTTGTCAGAATTAAGCAGTCACATTCAAACTCATGTTAAATAGGACTCAGTACACCTGCCATCAATTAAAGTGCCTCTGATTAACCCCATATAAAGTTCAGCTGTTCCAGTAGGCTATTCCTGACATTTTCCTAGTTGCATCCTACAGCAAAAGCCATAGTCTGCAGAGAACTTCCAAAGCATCAGAGGGATCTCATTGTTAAAAGGTATCAGTCAGGAGAAGGGTACAAAAGAGGCATTAGATATACCATGGAACACAGTGAAGTCAGTCATCATCAAGTGGAGAAAATATGGTGCAACAGTGACATTACCAAGAGCTGGACGTCCCTCCAAAATTGATGAAAAGACAAGGAGAAAACTGGTCAGGGAGGCTGCCAAGAGGCCTACAGCAACATTAAAGGAGCTGCAGGAATTCCTGGCAAGTACTGGTTGTGTAGTACATGTGACGACAATCTCCCGTATTCTTCATTTGTCTGGGCTATGGGGCAGAGTGGCAAGACGGAAGCCTTTTCTTACAAAGAAAAATATCCATGCCCGGTTACATTTTGCAAACACACATTTGAAGTCTCCCAAAGGCATGTGGGAAAAGGTGCTATGGTCTGATGAAACCAAGGTTGAACTTTTTGGCCATAATTCCAAAAGGTATGTTTGGCGCAAAAATAACACTGCACAACACCAAAAGAACACCATACCTACAGTGAAGCATGGTGGTGGCAGCATCATGCTTTGGGGTTGTGTTTCTTCAACTGGAACTGGGGCCTTAGTCAAGGTGGAGGGAATTATGAACAGTTCCACATACCAGTCAATATTGGCACAAAACCTTCAGGCTTCTGCTAGAAAGCTGAAGATAAAGAGGAACTTCATCTTTCAGCACGACAATGACCCCAAGCATACATCCAAATCAACAAAGGAATGGCTTAACCAGAACAAGATAAAAGTCTTAGAATGGCCCAGCCAGAGCCCGGACTTGAATCCGATTGAACATCTGTGGGGTGATCTGAAGAGGGCTGTGCATAGGAGATGCCCTCGCAATCTGACAGATTTGGAGCGTTTTTGCAAAGAAGAGTGGGCAAATATTGCAGAGTCAAGATGTGCATTGCTGATAAACTCATACCCAAAAAGACTGAGTGCTGTAATAAAATCAAAAGGTGCTTCAACAAAATATTAGTTTAAGGGTGTGCACACTAATGCAACCACATTATTTTAGTTTTTTATTTTTACTTCCCACTGAAAAACAGATTTCAGTTTGTTTTCAATTGAGTTGTACAAGTTATAGGTCACATTAAAGGTGGCTAAAGTTCTGGAATTATTTATCTTGGTCTCGTTTTTTTAAATCACAGAAACCTGGCATTTTAACAGGGGTGTGTAGACTTTTTATATCCACTGTATGTGCATCGTGGTGTTGGTAGCAGGGCTCTGCAGCTTTCTACTCACAATCCGGGTTGGATCCAGTTTCCCAGGTCGGTTTGTTGTCCAGGTGAAACTGTGGCCTTTAGTTACTCAGTAGAGAGGTGCAGTGCCGTTCCAGTCGATGGTAGCGCCGGCCCACTTGGTCCTGATGGTCATCTCCAGTGGATGATACCTCGTCTCCGGATCTCCCCCTGAATCTGTGGACTTCACCTCCCAGTGGTGGGAGTGCGTATCTGTATGATATCCAGGAAACAGAGCAGACACTGGGTCAGAGGTGAACAGGACCCTGAACAGACCTGATCCAGCTCAGCTGTGGCCCTCACCAACAGTCAGTCTGGCAGGGGTCTTCTGGGAGCTCTGGCCGTGATAGTAGTACAGTTGGAACATCTGCTCCACCTTCCAGTTGGACAGCAGTGTGCGGTTCAGGCTGAACAAGACCGAGAAGCTGCCATTAATGCAGCAGAGCCAGACTGGAAACCTGGGCGTCTTCAGCATGCTGCCCACCTGCGCACATACACACATAGGTGGAGGAGGTTAGTGCTGCTGCGAGCACAGGCCCATCACTGCCCACCTGCACACAGGTGTCATCTGCTTTTACATCTGTACAGTTTGTCCTTTTCTGTTTCTGGCTGCATCGCTCTGTGTAGAAAGACGTATTGACACAGCGGGGACGGAACCACGCCGGCTCGGCCGAAGCCACACAGCAGATTGATCTGGTTCAGCCTCTTCACCCAGTGAGATGCTGCACTGGACACACACGTGCATGTGAGCAGTGTATTTCTGCTGTTTCCTTTGAGGTTGTGACAACCACAGATGAAACAGCTGCAGCCCAGTCCTGTCTGTGAGGACTACACACCGCGGGGGCTGTGTCTGGAGTCTAGTAAACCTAATACACTTGCAGCTATTTGTCCAGATGGGGTCCTGGATCTCACTATCTCAGCAGCACACGAACCAACCTTGTTTTAATGTTGGACAAGTGAGTGGATCCAGGAGCTGGATCTGGATGTGACGATGTTCATGTCCGTGAGCCTAAAGCTCAGTTACCCATGACACCCTCCTCTGTGCAGACCTACACCAACATTTACAGGATGTGTGTCTTCACCGAACCATAGCACCAGCAGATGAATGTGCCTTTGTGTCGTAGGGGACGTGTCCCTCGTCAGAGCTGTGGTCGCTCAGCTGCTGACTGTGACCATCTCCTCGCCACGATGGCAGATGCTACTACTCTACTAGTGATTAAACAGTCTGTCACACAGTGAATGAAAGGACTACAGGGTTTCCTGCAGCACTTTCCAGGAGAAGCTGCTCAGCGCTCCTGAAACACAGACGAGCTCTGCCTACATCACAAAAAATGACATGGTGATTAATTTAACTACTAAAAGCCGGGAAGCTGATCGCCACTAAACAGCCACTCTGCCTGGGGAAGCCCTGACGTCAGCACCGTTTGCTTTGGCCAGGTCACATGATCCAGTCAGAGCAGGTACGATGAACCCGTGTAGTGTTGATAATGAGTGAAACCAGACACTGTTGTATCAACAATAACTCAGCTGTTGGTGTACACACAGGTAATTGTACCTTAACAGTAGCAGTACTTGTAGAAGTAGTATTACTTGCAGTAGCAGTAAAAATTCAAGGCTGTGGGTTTCTTTACCCCTGTTTTCTTGTCTGCTGCTGCTGTGCATGCAAAAAGATAAAATAACAGAAAGAAACAAAGTGGTTAAAAAGCAGCAGCGGTGGTGGTAGTAGTAACTACTACCTGCGGCAGTGTGCCTCTCTCCATCTGCTCTCGGCTCCAGTGCAGATAACCCACATCAGAGCGGGCCAGGACGCCCTGCAGACGGCGCTCCAGAGGCAGATCGTCCTCCTGGGAGTACCGCATCCCGTTGAAGACGTGAGGACTGCCTCTGCCTGTTAGCAGCAGGTTCAGCAAAGCCTGCAGACACACAGGAAACCAGAGATCCTGTAGTTGACCACAAGCCAGGGGACCAGAGGACCTGATGGTTAGAGCAATTGGTTGAGTTGGTGCTGCAGATGGCTGGCTCAGGTTCTGTACCGGAAACTAATTCCTTGTATGTAACATACTTGGCCAAATAAAGGTGATTATCCTCATGTTTAACCTGTACTGATCTGTGGAATCCCTCTCTGGAGCTGTCGTCCAGATAACACGTGCAAGTTCAGCACGGAGCCTGTTCTTCTGAAGCCTCAGAGAAACACTGGATGAACCCCAGATGCCATAAAGACCCCTGTGACTGTAGACAGCTTTCACAAACCTCATACTCCTCACAGCTACAACCCACAGGAACCTCTGAAGAAGCTGGTCAAGCAAGAGGACTGGCAGCTGCTGGCAGTGAGAGACTGTAGAGGACTGTGGGACGGCACGGAGGACGTGTAGGCACTAACAGAAACTGGGGGAAGAGTCCTGCAGTGTGTGTGTGTGTGTGTGTGTGTGTTTCAGGGTGAGAGTGAAGAAAGAACTAATGCTGTTGCATGTTTTCTGCCTTTGCTGCTGAGCACTGACAAAGGTTACCTGTAGTACCTGTTCTGTTATGTCCATCTGGACCCTGTCTCTGTCTGTATGCTACCCATGTGGTGTTACACTCCACCAGGAGCAACACCACGGCCTCCTAGTACAGCCTAGAGAACTGGGAGTCCTTGAACCACATCTTTGTAGAGGCAGGACTGTGTCCTGAGACAAGATGGCTTCTTACCTGACAACAGACGAAGTCGCCCAAACTGAGGTGAAGCAGGTGGGAGGTGGTTGAGTCCAGATCCTCCCTCAGCCTGTGAGGACACATGGTTCTGTTGTGTTAGTGCAGGTTTGTGCTTTTTGTTTCCAGGTTGATCACACTGTGTTTTTGTTGAGTTGCCCTGCTGTTTGTTGTGTGACTAAACCAAGTATCTGATCGACTGTGGTCTAAACATTAAGTGTACTTTGTGTGGGATTCAGAAAACAGGTGAGTCTGATATACATGCCCTGTTGTTTGCCCAGAGACCCGGACCGTTGTTGCTCTAACACTAAATGTGAGAACCTTCTTCAAAGCTGAGTGAAACACTCGTTGGACACCTGGCTCTCTCTCCTGTATAAAGTCTGAAGGACCACTGTGTAAACAGCGTTGGCACAGAGTAAACCTCATGCTTGTTCTGCCACCATCCTGTTAGGTGTAGTGAGCCCTGTCGGGGGTGTTACCGTCACTGTATGGCCCTGTTACCTGTCGACTGTCCGGGAGCAGATGAGGCTGTACAGGAACAAGATGACTCCGTGACTCCCCTCCTCCTTAAACTACAAGAAGACAGGTTCATGACAAACTGTCCTCAGTAAATATTCTACAGCGGCTGGTGTGTTGTTCAGTTGTCAGGGTCTCTGCAGGTCCTGAAACCTCTCACATCACTTTCCTGCTGCTTGTCTGGGTCCAGGCATGGGTGAATGGGGGCTTTTAAGTGTTATTGGTGGACCTGCAGAACCCTGCTGAATGAGCCACAGTCTGTGCTGATGAAACACCTGCACACAGACTCAGCGAGCTCTTTCAGAAGTGCTGATCTGACAGATGAGAGAACACAGGCTGGTCTCCTGGACGTACTCACACAATGAATGTGCTCCAGGATGAACCTCCTGACGTCTTCTCTCTCGTTAAACGTGAAAAGCTGCAACTGAAAGACGTGTGAATAGTGTAAATGTCTGACTGGTGCAATAATGAAACCAGCCTCGGTGCTGTTTCGTACCCTCTCTGTGAAGTTGTCCAGCTTGTAGTCCAGCTGAGGAGTGATGCAGTAGTCTTCGGTTACCAAGGTGACCGTGGCACTGACCTCCTGGCCGGCCAACCAGAGGCTGTCAGACAACGCTGCTGCCAACACCTTCTCCTGATCCCTCTGGCCAACTTCGCTCAGACTGAGGGAAATGACAAACACATGGTTATAACAGCCCAGGTGAGCTCTGGGATCATGGTGCCATCACTGAGGACAAGTCTGGAAGTGTCTGCAGACACGCCGGAAACAAGCCTGTGTCAGCTTGTTTGGCCTTCCTGATTTGGAACCAAGAATGTGGGCATTGTACTGCAGTGAGTACAGTGCACATGCTCATGAATCCTGGACCTGGTGGTTTTTGCAGCTGCACTGGTGCTGGAAGTATAATTTGACATTTTGAGAAGGATAAGCCTTTACGAACAGCTGGAAGGCCCTTACTTGCACCTGAAGGTGGGCACACCTGAAGTGTTGGCAATACATCCTCGTGACAGAGGAAACTACAGTATCATGGTACAGTCGGGTTTGCAGTTCTTTGCACTGTGACAGGTATTGTATCATCTCTGCTTCACACTCTCAGGTTACAGCTTTTGTGTCCACTGTGATCTTGTTGATGGGGGCGTCACCTGCACTCTGAGCGCATCCAACAGGATGATGGAGTGGACTCACCTGTTCAGCGTCTGTCCCTCTGAGCCGCTCCGACAGGTGAACAGCAGATGTCTGATGATGCGAGCCTGGACAGCCATCTGAATGGCCTGAGCCCCGCCCTGAAACACACCTGACCAGGTGAGACTTGCACCACACAATATGTGCCACAGGTGTTGTGGAAATGGAAGCTGGGACTGGTTTTAGAAGAAGTACTAAGAAAATGTAGTAGAAGGAAAAGACACTACTAACAGTAGCAGTATTATTAATAATTATTAAGGTAAGAGTACCTCTAACTGCAGTATTTTCTGTAGCAGCAGGTAGTTCTCACCCTGTCAGTCTCCAGAACGTAGGAAAACTCTGAGTTGGGCTCTCTGAACTGAAAAGAGGATTTCCTCCACTCATAGCTGAAGATGTGAAACGTTCCTCCAAACAAAATCCTCCGGAGGCACTAGAAATGGAAGTGAGCACAAACATGTCTCTGGAGCTGGAGCACATCTGGATGCTGTAAACCAAGATACAGTATTTATCTGGCTTCTGAAAAGGTGTTTGGTTTTTCTTCCCCTGAACTGAGCCAGTCATACACATTCCATTAGCGAGACGGACCTGACTGCAGACAAAGATGGTGGCTTGTGACCTAAATGGCACACACCAAACCCGGTTCAGGATGAGAACTAATGTTAACCCTGGAATGATGATGACAGGCAGTATGTGCAGAGAAGGAGACGTTAAAACGACCACACAGATTCTGATCTGATCGTTCTGATGGTGCTCGCACAGTCAGAGGTCAGAGAAGAATCGGGTCTGAGGACACCTGGTCTGTTCACACTGCTGTGGACATATCAGGTCTAGGAAAGTTCAACTTGGATGTGGACGTGTTCTCTTGGCTAACCTTGACCAGGTGGGGGGTGACCGGCGTTCCTCCCAGGCTTGGGGAGATGACCAGCCTCCTGGGGATGGGGCAGGGTAGTGGGAGGGGCCTACAGGGTGGAGAGGCCTCCTCCCGCTTCTCCTCCTTCTCCACATCCACCAGCCTCTGAGGAGCAGAGGACAACATCTGTCCAGAGATATAGCACATCTGCACTGAGTGAAAACATCTAGCATCAACTTTAGTCCCAACCACTCCTGCTCAGTCATTTTCGACAAGACATAAACAGGAAGTACACCTGATCGTAGTAGTAGTAGTAGTAGTAGTAGTTGCACAGAATAGTAAATGGTAGTATCAGTATTTCCAGTACTACTAAATGTAAGCATAAACAGGAAGTACACCTGATCTGATCGTCGTCGTCGTAGTGGTAGTTGCACAGAATAGTAAATGGTAGTATCAGTATTTCCAGTACTACTAAATGTAGTAGTGACAAAACAGTAAACAGCAGTATAAGTACTAAAAGCACATGGTTGTGACTTACATCAGTATTCTTGTCGACTTCCTGTTGAAGTAGCTTGATGTAGTCCAGTCTGCAGTCATAGTGACAAAACGGTAAACGGCAGTATAAGTACTAAGAGCACATAGTTGTGACTTACATCAGTATTCCTGTCGACTTCCTGTTGAAGTAGCTTGATGTAGTCCAGTCTGCAGTCTGACATCACCAATTACTACCAACTATTAGTAACAGTACAAGCTTTTCTGGTACTACTGCCACTACACCTTTAGGTACCACCCTAATCTAACTGGCTCAGCGTAGTAGTAGTTCGTCTAGTAGATGGTCACTGCAGTAGCACTGAGTGCTCTTCAGCTGCGGTGGATGCAGGTCGAGTATGAACAGCAGCTCTGAAACCTGATCCCACCTGTTGCAGCATCAGCAGCTGCAGGTGAAAACTGATCACTGTTCAGTTTTATGGCAAGTCACAGGGGAGGAAACTTTCTGTTCTGTTCATACATCACATGGGCCACGTGTAAATCAATTTATACAAACACAGTTTATGTAAATGACATAAAACTACATGTTCATGGAAAACGCAGACAGATATTTAAGAGAAATAAAAAAAATATGTCCTAGTTTTTAAAGCGATCTCCCAAGGTTAATCCCACATGACGCCCCCTGCTGGCAGAATTAGAGCATAGCCTTTTTCCTTTTAAAGAGCAAGTTCATGTTTTTCCAGGCCTATCTTCAAACAACACTTGTGTCCATCTGGGTGTTTGAATTTCACCCAAAGACCTGAAATATTCAGGATTTTTTTTTTGACTCTGTCCATAAACATGATGGGGGAGAAACCCTGTAGAGATGTTTGCATGGAGAGATTTTTCAATGCAAAAATATTTAATAACTTTATTCTTACCCAGTGTAGTGTTACCAAATTACTTTACCCGTCAGTGGCCATCTGCTGGTTATACTACAACAATTAGTTTGGAAAAATATGCTTTTGTGTAATTTTGGTGAATTTTTATTGGGAAAAATATTCAGCTATGCCCTTGGTTGAACTGAAAGCTGTCTGTGTTTATAGCTAACCTCCTGCTCTGACCTGAAAGTTTGTCCTCTACAGAACAAAGTGAGAAATGGATTTCTCAGGTTAATGTCCGAAAACGGGTGTTTCTCCCTGTGACAACAGCAGGACTGGACTGACTCTGAGCTGAACAAACCTGTTCCCACTGTTCGACGTGTGCAATATTAGCCTTGGGTAAGAGAAACAACGGCCTGGAGATTATGACCATTCAAGGAAATCTTTAAACTATCACGTAATACTTTATTTTGGTAGAAAAAAGTCTGGTGAGGGAGAGTTGTATAAACCAAGTTGCTTCTGAACATACATACACCTAATTCTTTGAGCTTTAGGTCACGTCTAAGATAAGATTTCACCGTTGTAGCATTGTAGATAAGTCAGACAACAAGGAAAAGTGCTGTGGGCTCTTTAAGTCAAAATGACAAACTGTTGCACACACAGCCACAAAACAACCACCTCACGTGTTTCTCACGACTTTTCCATTACAGTGCCTTGCGAAAGTATTCGGCCCCCTTGAACTTTGCGACCTTTTGCCACATTTCAGGCTTCAAACATAAAGATATAAAACTGTAATTTTTTGTGAAGAATCAACAACAAGTGGGACACAATCATGAAGTGGAACGAAATTTATTGGATATTTCAAACTTTTTTAACAAATAAAAAACTGAAAAATTGGGCATGCAAAATTATTCAGCCCC